TATTATATATTAAAAACATATATACAATTTATTATTTTAAAAATACAAATATCAAAAAAAATCTTTATCATAATGTATAAGAAAAAATTAAGCTTTAACAGTATAAAATACATGATTAATGGTTTGGTATAAATTGTTCCAACTCATTTCTCCAGCAGTAAAAGGATATTTCAAGGCGAGTTTTTTATTTTGAATGGACGTTGATAGATGCTCTGATAGCAGGAATAACAAAAAAATAAGCTACGAGTATGTGTACCAACAGCTCGCACTAGATACTTGTGCCTCTTATAGCACGTAACAGGAACGGTTTGAAAATTGTGTTTACTAAGATATAACTAAATCTCATTCATATGAATTACTTGATAATCTTTTTGCATTTAAATACAATAAAACTTAAATCAAAACATCTGTATTATAGTTAATTTTACATTTTTTTCTCAGAAGGAATCAAAACTAAAAGCGTAAGGATTTCAACTATAAATGTATTGGGCTTTATCTTAATCCCCTCATGGTGTTCCGTGTTTATCGCGGACATAAAGACGGATAGATAAAATCTATTATAAACCATCCAGTATTAATAATAATTAATAGTTTATGCTCCAGTAGTCGGTCGTATTGAATATACAGAGTTATACCTTATATGAAAGATATATCCTTTAAATAGAACAGTATTAAATGATGTTATTTTTAATTAAACGGATGCTGGCTCGTTAGGAAGTGGGTCAGCGGTGGTATGCGATGCAAAGTGCATGTATCTTAAAACGAAACATGTGCTCGGCTTATCTCTTATCAGTTGCAAGACATCTCTCAATTAATGTTGTATAGACACTTTTGATTATGTTTAAGTTTAAATGTAGATCACATCTGGATGTTGAAGTAATACTAGGATTATTCTGCGACTTCGTCTATACGGACCTTGGAATTAGGATGAGAGTTTGTATGTATGTTAAACAATAGATATGGTAACTAACCGTTAGCGATATCTGTAGTGTTGGTCACGTGACTTCATTCATGCCGTGATCCCGCGGAAACTATAAGTAATTTTGGAATCAAATCTAGCCTCTTTTATTCTGATGTCTAACCAATATTATTATTTATTTCAGTCAAATCCTTTAGGAAAGTACTTTTTTGCAGAAGAGCAACAAATATTTATTAATACATCGTTACAAAATCATAAATTCTCGCATTTATAAATAAGATGCAATAGATTTTCTTTCGTATTGAAATATGTGCAGGGATTATTGATTCATTTAATACAATAAGTTTTAGACGGTATTTAACAAATATATAAAGATAGATATTTTCAGTCAGTGGTGGCTCAGTGGTTAAAGGGCCCGCCTCTCGTCGTCGAGGGCGCGGGTTCGATCCTGGCCCGGGTAAGTGCCAATGTGATTTTTCCGAATCATATGTACTTTCTAAGAATATTTAGGCATCACTGATTAATGTTGATTCCCAAAAAGAGGGTTGATGTCAGGCAGGCGGGCCGGTCGTAAAAACAAATAGCCAAAAACTATTCAAACATGTAAGGCAGACCCTGGCTATAGCTGGGAAATTGCCAGGTAGAAGAAGAAGATAAAGATAGATATTTTACTTGTATTTGCACTTAATAATTCAAGTTCGTATCGTACAACTACATACGATGCGTTGACAGTTATTTATAAAACTTCTCACATAGTACGTTGTTTAGTGAATAAGAAAAAGGGATACACATGTATGCATAGATACAGTAATAACGAATGTTCAAGTACATACTGATGGTAAGACTTACGAATCATAGTTACACCGTCATAACTATTCATATAATGTTTGTATGAAAAAATAATCGAAATCAAACGAGAATTCCGAGAACTTAATTTAAAAAATCAAAAGAATAACAATCAAAAGACGAACACAGAAAAAGAAATTGTTCCAATACGATTACAATGGCGCCATTTTATTCAGCCACACGAAGCAAGTCATTAAAGCGAGTACGAAACAAACGTTCATAAACATTCATTTATATATAAATATTATTATTGATTGAACGCAATGAGTTTGCATATGTTGCATACATTCTATGCTTGACTGATACATTACATTAGAAAAGCAATCGAACTGTATTGATAACGTGTTAATGGAATTTTGTTTTTGTAAAAAGCACTTAGCTATACTATGATTGAAGCTCTAGATGTTCAATTTTTATAATATGTAATAACAAAACTCTAAAAGAATTAATATTTAATTATTCCAACGATTTGTTACATTATTTTTTAAGACTATTTTAGTTCATTGATTACTGTCTATAATCGAATTTGCATAGAAACCTATATATAAATTATAATTAAATTTCATCTTAAGTAGATTTTTTATCATTATTTCTTGTGTTATAACTGTCTAAATCTCTTATTTCTTAAAGTAATAACATCACCGCTGATGGTAAAGTATCAATAATAACTATATAGTTTTTTTTAGTATCGTACCGATATGCAACAAGAATGTAGCGGTGATTTCATGTTTAATGTTTATTTTGAGTGTATCCAAGAGCACGATTGTAACTGCGGTAAATTTAGTACGGGTTCTTCACCTTAAGTATTCCTTATGTGTTTTAAATGAAGGTCGCATTTGAGATTAGTAGCATTCTACCCCAAATACATATTTCATTAAAATAAGATTATTCGTTATAATTTGAACATTAGAAATTTTGATGTAATTTTTTTTTTATTATTCTGAATTTGAAATTGATGTTCGTTTAATATTAGCGATAATATTATAGTTCGTTTTAATAACAATTAATTTTAAAGCCAATGTTAATAAGCTGTTAGTTCTAAGCTATAGATTATTCCCTTCATTTAAAATATCCTTATAAATATAACTTGCAGGTTTATTGTGATTACATTTATAATATATATTCTTATTACTTATAATTTTATTGTATATTAATATTACATTATTTATATCGACTTCACCATTAAATTAATATCAAGGTTTCTATATAGAAAATAATATAGGTAGAATTCTTAGAAATTAAATATTTATTTACATTACTGTATAAGTAATGTTGTTTTATTTAACTTATAAGTAGTTTAGTTTTGTACCACAGAACATTTAGACAAATATTTTATGCAAATCCGAAAGCACTACACGCTGCAGCACTCAAGTTATTCTAGAGATCGGAATGTCAACAATGTAAAGTCCTACCAAACCGATCAAAACACTTCACGAGAGCGCTCTTTAACAAAACACTGAAAGGGTTCCGAGTAAAATGCATCAGACGTGTTATTTATTGATGAAGAAACAAATAAAACACACTCTGAGTCCGTCGCGATTGTGAGTAAAGACCAAAAAGTTGCTGAAATGTAGTAAAACGTTTCAGGACACGAAAGTATGCTGAAATCAGATTGTATTTTAAATTTGATTCATTGTAATCAGTCGTTCGTCATTTTGCATTGTGATGTCAACGTATAGTGCCAAGTGGTGCGTTATAAACATATAACTAAAGATCTTGTTTCTCATTACAGTCAAAGGTGAGCTAAATGGCACGTGTGACATTCCAGTTTATTTCTGTAAAGTGTAACGGAACTCGGGAAGGTATTTTAATGGAGAAAGACGGATTCCGCGCCAGTGACTGGGGCAAACATGTTATTTATGTTTGAAAACGAGCATTAAATTAGCGATGTTCGGATATAACAAATGAATTCTTAGATGACTCGAAAATACAGTTGTCGTGAATCAGCATTACACGAGGGCGATCGACTACTGGAGTATTATATTGCTTTGTGCCTTATTTGTTTGTAAAGCTGTTCACGCGGGGATATTCTTGATGTAGCATTGACCGTTAATGACTAAGCTTTTACTGGCATAAATTATTACGTGCATAAAACTTGGGCTCCTCTGTATTTAAATGGGATTGTGATTTCACGGATGGAAATTGAATTATTTTATGTGTTGGAATGTTTTGTTTATAACAACATGGGTTTTAGGCAGACCCTGTCTAAAAGCTGGGAAAATTGCCAGGTAGAAGATGGGTTTTAACAATATTTTAAAATAGTACTAATGGATATGTCGAATACATTTTCCTTAATACCTCTCCCCGTGTGATTTATGTCCTTGTTACTATGAATGATATTCTTCTGACTCGAGTTCTTCCTGTTCGTTTTGTTATAAAGAATAAGATATATTATGTGCTTCATTAAACATTTTAAATGATGGTTTTTACTTTTCCTATACCTCTAACCAATGGGTAGTAAGAAACCGAGCATTAATTGTGCGTTAACATTTAATTAGTCGAAACTACTGTTACTTATCAGTGTGATAATTATGAGGATGTTCAATGACAAAAATTAAACACCAATATAAAATTGAGACAGTCACTGCTTAAAGATGACGATATATCGTATAAAATACAGTAAATCTCAACTGTTAAGTTGACCAGTGATTTATAAAGACTTGTGTTAATATATGTTTGTGAGTCATTAGCTCAAGATTATCCCGTGACGAACCACTCGATTTCAATTGTGCGTGAACATTGTATGTACTCTATAATTAAATGTGTAAATTTATATCTCAGGCGAATTCCGATATATCTTTTATATATGTATGTAAATACATATATGCTCTAAATATACGATAACTCTATTTAGACGTACTAAAACAAGATATTTAGTAAAAAATGAAGTTTCTTAGTACAGTTTTAGATTTCAAACCAGGATGTTGTAACCTGAAAATAATGTATATTTAAGACTTTAAATTTAATGTTAATGTATAGCTTATTTTCTTAAAATGTTTTCATAGAAGTTTTTATTCTCAACTAGATTTTGTTTATGCATTCTAATATTCTAGTCAGCACTAAATTTTTTTTAAATATATGGAATAAAACATGCCAATATAATTTAAATTCTTACCCAAATACAGAATATCATTAATTTCATTGCGGTACCGTTTTGTGATGCACATAAGCAATTAGGACACACTGACACAAAATGACCTACGGGAACTGAATCAAGTGTATGCCAATATTTCAGGTAATCCAAACGACAAAGTCCTATACGGTCGACCCAACAAGCGTCGCAGCGCCTCGTTCCCAGCGCCACGCTCCCTCGACCGGCGCCACTCACTTCGTATCTTCGGTTCATCCAGCAAGTACTTGCAGCGATGCGCTTCCACACGTAGTTTGCACCACAAGCACAATACGACAGATAGCTCGTCATCCACCGACTACCCACCCAGTGTAGAATCTGCGTCGCCTAGTAAGTGCTTCTTATAGATTTTATTTTGCCAGATTTTATATCGCTGAGTTTTAACTAAAAAATAGATTGCTTTAGGTTAAATTGCATTTTTTTTTCGCTTTATTGTATACATTACAGGAGACATCAACGTTGGCAAATTTATTTATATTATGCGCATTTTTCTTTATAGTAGTGCGTTCATTGAATATGTTTTTAAGCTCTTATGTTTCCCTTAGGCAATGTAGGTGACAATATGTTAACATTTGTTGTCACTTTTTAATTCCTAATCGTTGTTATTACAGAGAAAGTGTCGTTGCTCTCCCGCTTATTCAGACGAAGCGGCCGCAGCAAGCAGACCCGCGCGATGAGCACCTTCTCTGCGCAGTTCCCGCCCACTGAGTGGTTCAACTCCAAGGCGGTGCATCTACACTGTGTCGCGACACAAACTGACTCTAAGGTACTATTTCTGAGTTACTATAGAGCTTGTTAATTATTCATTTCTTGAAAATCACTTTAAAGAAACCGTTATTCGTTACAGGAGTCCCTGCAGAGCCAAACATCATTCGTTTCATCGTATTATGACGGTTCAGAAATCAGCAACCGATCGTCGACATTACCAAGACGACACAAGAGACATCTTTCGACCGAATCAGGTCTAGCGACGTCCATGCAATACGACCACTCGCCCGTGAGGCAGTCGAGCCCCAGTTCAGGTAGTCTCCCGAGGTCGACACTGAGTAGGAGCTCCACGAACAAAACTATATTGGACCATTTTGGATCACCTCAACGAAACAGCGAACCAAAATTAAGAGACAGTCCAAATGGAAGTTTACGGCGTGTGGATTATTCAGATAACTTAATGTCTACTAGTGGCCCTTCAAGCTTGGAGAGCAACACTCACAGAACACCACGTAAAGATTATAGAAATGGACAATCGGATCTAAATTCACCTATGAAAAGAGGCTATCACACGAGCGGTAGCAGTGGACATTCAAGCTTAGAATCACATATATCAGATCGCACTTTGAAACCTTCACCTAGTCATACTAACGGGAACGCTGGTCTTAGCAGAGCACAATCACTAGTTAAAGTCCAAAGCCTTCAAAGTTCACCTAAAAGTCTGCACAAGTATAGAACTAAACCGCCAATTGTTGGAGGCGAAACGGTTAAAAACGGTAAGAGCACATCCCCGAGAACTTCACCAAAAAATTGTCCAAATACTCCCAAAAAAACCGCTACTCCTTTACATAACAAAACTCTTGGATCCAAAGTCGAGAACCCCGCTACCGCAATGCTTGCTAGTTCTAATTCAAATAATTCCATCACATTGAAAGTAACGACAAACACAATGTCACAAAACGGCGGAACTAACACCAAAGTCTATGTTCAAAACTCACCTGTTCGTTCCGTAATTACTTTTGAAAACGGTAAAATTACTGAGACAAGTAACGGCAGCAACATATATATAATTAATGATGATAGACAAGTTGTGTCCGTCTCCCAAAATGGAGTGTCTAACCAAACGACAAAAAATCCCACGGAAACATCTTTTGATGTATGCGTTGAAAAGAAGAAACAGTTGTACCAAGAACCAGATAAAGAAAAAGTACAAGAAAATAAATTCAATAAAAATTCTATCAACGACACGCGAATGAATAACAACAGAAAATTATCTTTACAGATAGGAGGTGTTGCGAACAATAACAGTTTCATTTACAAAAATCAGTTAAACAATACAAATGACGTAGCCTCAAATCCTTCTTCGCCAGCGATTCATAACAACATTCATAATATAGAAGCGAGTGCTACCAGCAATCCTTCCACGCCAACTAAGACCTATGACAATGTCATTGGATCATTAGGCAATCTGAGATATCAAAAGAATTCATTAACAACGACGCACGGAGGAATACATCCGAATTTGAATACGAATAGCGACCTCAAAAGCGTCGACTTGCTAAAAAAAGCAGCAGCTTTGCAAATGTTGAATGGGCTTCCAAATATTCATAACAGAATGAGCTCAGAATCTATAGCTAATCTATTATCGAAAGGCATCGATCAGAAACCGACAGTTCTGGGTTCTGAACCCAATCTGGCACTAAAAAACCAAGAAGTGAATAAAGATATAAACATTTCATCTGAAAAGATTCACAGCTTGGAAAATAAACAGAAGCGATACAGCCTGAGTCAGGATGGCAAGAAGGAACACCAAGATTTTTATAACTTTCCAAGCCTAAGCGACTTGAGCTTTAATTTTACTAGTTTAGCTGCACAAAAGATTTTGAAGGGGGTCAGTATAAATAGCGTAGATACGTTGGTAGAACTGAACATGGCCGCCAACAATACAGAGAAGCAAAACAATCGTGATGTAGCTGCAGTATGCACGGACTTCGGCCTTGTATAGTATATGTATTGTTTATTTTGTTTTTAATGTACAATAGTAGACTTAATAAATACGCAATACGCTAGGTAAAACTTATTCATAACAACTTCATAACATACCTTAGATATGCACTATGTATTAAGTTGGAACTTTGTACTCATGTTTTGTACTCTCAACTTATTAATTAATTCTTTAAATGTATTTAACATACTTGAATTTATCTTTACTAACTGTACGCTATCAATTTCTGCTAATGTAGTATTATTTAATTCAGTATTCTTACAGTATTTTTCCAAAAAAGAAAAACATATTCTAGTATTGGCAAAGACTTAACTTGCTTTAAAAGTAATGACAATAAATTACTTGTGAATCAAGTGGCCTAAAATAACCTTCCATGATGTAATTTAGTGCCTATATATTGTATCTTCACTAGTAGAAACTTGTAGCCCTAAATTTTAAACCTTAAGCACCTATCTATTCACTTATGTCCTTTACCTTTCCAAAATCAGCACTTCTGTTGTGCCATCAAATTTTCCAGTGAAGAAGTTGAGTACAAACTAGAATACATCCATTAAAACAGATTCCATCCAAAGATGGGAAGATATAGGGATGTTATATTTAATGTATGTCATTTGTAAGTGCCATAAATAAACTGTAATGTTATGAGAATTGGACAGTCGGTTTGATATTGGAAGATTGGTGACCATTATTTTTATTTGAACGCTGCACTTAAAGTGTAGTTGAAATAAAGGGTAATATTTATTCATTAGGAAATATAATCGGAAGTCAATGCATACTAGTTTTAAGTTGTTCAGTAACGCCATTTGTATAAAAATGTATTAACAATATAAGTTGATGCTTTACCACATTTGTTTCATTTTTATTTCAACCTCTATAAAGATATATAAAACGCAAGTTATATAAAATAAAAAACTTTATTAAATGCATTTTAAGTAATAGTATAGTCAATCGCTAGGAACAGGTGATTGTACTGTGTTCCATCACATCATTAACTTGAGTAGGTTCTGTTTCTGTTTGGCCTTTTATTGAGTTAAGCCATTCGTCGGTAGGATTTATTTTCTTCACTTCACTGTCGTCGGATTCAGATTTTTCATCTTCTACATTATTTTCAACTATCAAATCATCCTTTAAATTTGAATCGTTTTCCGTTGAGTTCTTCGATGAACTAGTACTTGTTATTTCAGGCTCTACGTCTCTGAATTTTTTGGCTACATCGCTACTATGTACATTAACATAACACACACAATCCTCTGTCTCAGTGATCTGTTTGATGGCTGCCTCCTCAATTGCTTCTAGCTGCTTGATATCTTCTTCTTTAGTTATCTCTTCAATAGTTTTATAAGAATACATATGATCGTCGTTAGGACTCACATAATCCTCGAGTAAAAACGTAATGCTATCAAAATTAAGTCTTTCAAAATCTATAACACCATAGTTAGATATATATTGTAATAAACTGGACTCGTTGCTAAAACATATTTGTACATTCTGAACACAGTTTCTCTCCAAGTCTTTGTTGTCTTGACATTGTTTCCTAATAACATCAAGCTGGCGTAAAGTCTTCAGTTCTCTAGCTTTAAGACTGGCATAAATGCGAGCAAAAGATTGCTTTACCGTCGTTTTCAACTGAAACATAACAATACATTCATGACGATTTAATTGATACAAATCATTCTGTAATAAAGTTAATACTTACATTTTCTATATTTTGTTCTATATCGTCAGTATCGCTCGCCATGTTTGTTTATTTACCATATTTTTTTAATCTGAGCTGTCATAAATTTCAAGCCCTGAATGCCAGTTCCTGCATTCAGTATTCTTAGTTGAGTTGGTTGGTTAAAATTTTAAAAGCCATGATGTAATAAATATATTTTCTTTATTAAATGCAATTTATCTAATACGGATGAATTTGTAATGAAATATTTTTAGAACAACAAAAATTAAAAAAAAAAAATACAGTAATTCTAATAATAATATTATGTGTGTTGAAATAAATGACGAAAACTATTTCTATTCTTCACTTATTATTTTGAGTATAATTTTCAGCCAGTCCTCAGTGAGAGAAAAATTTACAATATGTTAAGAAATAAAATCTTGACAATTAACAAATATTTGTAAAAATTTTATAAGATTTAAATTTTTCATGTATTAGATGACTTGAAGGGTACAAACAAATTTACGATCACAAATGAAGTCAGAGACGTTACGAAAATGGTAATTTTAATTATTTAAAATTAAATAGTTAATAAAAAATAAAATTTAAAATTAAAGTTTTGATATTTAAGACAATGAACACGCCATCCTATTATTGGCAGTTTTTGTAGAATTGATATTACTCTTTAATCGATTTGATTAGGAGATTTAATCTATGTAAGAATCATCTAAAAAATTGTTCCTATTTAGCTATTGAATCTACATGATATATATTTAATAATAAACACTTATTTTACACATGGCAACATCGGACAGTAATAGAATTATTGATTTTTCGTTTGACAACTGGCTGGCTTGAAATAAAAAACATCGGACACAGTTTATTGTTCAGTCCGTAGAATTGTTTTATTTATTGCTGACTTATCTAATTCTTGGTAATTGAAGTAAAATGAGTGAATTAAGACACCGCAGGGGTGACGGTGATGGGAACGAAAAAGTAGAAACTGCTGGAGAATCCGATCATGTAAAATATAAATATTAATTGAATTTTATAAAGCAACCTGTTTGATATCGAGTCGTAATGAATAATTATATTTATAATGGTTCTATAGGTGGATTCTGAGGAGGAAAAGGTATTAGAAGAGAAGTATGTGGATGAATTAGCTAAATCGCTGCCTCAAGGAACGGATAAGACTCCAGAAATTCTGGATTCGGCGCTTTCTGGACTTTCATCGCGGTAAATAATCTTTGAATTTATACGTAGGAAGATATATTTTCTAATCGCAAATATCAAAATATTTCATATATTTAATACTAACATATTTTTTCCTCGATTATCCAGTGCATTATTTGTAATATAAAGTATTTATTGACTCGAGTCTTGAATGCAATTAAAAAATAGTTACTTTTGTCATTATAAAATTTGTAAAAGATTTTTGTTATAATTTTATACAAAAGCAACAGTTAATGTTAATTTTAATATAATATAGTAAATTTGCTATAAGGAGTAGTGTTAATTAAGGAATCTAAATTTTTACTCATAAATATAACAATTATATAGATGGAGGAATTGGGTCATCCGAGGCATTTTCACCTGGTTGATGATTGGAGGTTTCTGCCTTCTCATATATGGCGGACCATTGGCTCTTATGATAACGGTATGTTAGTAATAAAATTCAATATTAAAAATAGGAAGATTTTTTTTATCAATACCTATCTTCACTACAGCGTCAATTTAAAATGGTTCTTAAGTTATCATATCAGTTTTACTTAGTTTTAGAAATATTTGAAGAAATTTACCCAATGAGACCATTTTACAGTAGTGATACATAATTTATAGGCAGATATTGCTAAACACATTGTATTTAAGCTTTTAATAGAAGAACTCAATATAGACTGATTATTAAATTCAAAAGTCTTTCTTAAACTACCCAAATAAAAAAATGCTTGAAAAGTATGAATGATATAGTTTTATATTATATTAAGAATTCAACTACATTGATTGCTTTGACGAAGCTCAAAACCATGATAAAATTGTGTTGGAGTTAAAATATTGATAGGATCATATGAAAACATTAAGTAAATACATGAAGAATAAAAACACACACACCCACACACACATATGTATATATCTATGTGTGTATAGGTATCAGTTTTTTAAGTTTACACTAAGCTCATTGATTTTCATCATTCCCAGGTACTCTGTGTTCAAGTGAAGTGTTTTGAGGAGATCATCAATATTGGATATGCAGTGTACCGAGTCCACGGCCTGCCTTGGTTCCGATCCCTTTCTTGGTACTTCCTATTGACTTCCAACTACTTCTTTTACGGCGAGAACCTGATTGATTACTTCGGTGTCGTCATTAATAGAACGGTGAGTAGATTTTATATAAAAAATATATAAGTTACATAAAACAGTGTAATATTATATAGTTATAATTTGATTCATTGTATATGAAAAATAAAATTAATATTAAAAAAGTAATTTTGTTCACTAATGAGGTTTTCTTATCAATCTATACAATTTGTTATTAAATACGTAAATTTGTTGTTGTTTTTGGACCTTAATTAATTTATAATGATGTTTTGTTAATTACAAGTAGGTAGCAGTTATATAATTCTATAATATTCTAGATTTTTTTCACTATTTTCATGTTATTTTTCATATAATATGTATATTAAACAAATAACTGGCTATTACTTCTGTGTTTTAAGTGATGGCTGTATTGATAATGTACTACATACTATATAATTAAAAGTATTTACCTAACCAATTATATATGTCGCTATAGTAAAAAATATAGGTAAATAAGACTAACAGTTTCGTCAACATATAATACGATTTCAAATTAGTTTAGTGTCAGAATCAAGGTTAAACCAATTAGAGAGACTTTATCCAATAGCAGTAAAACGTGATATTTTTAAGTTACGTTAAATATAACATTTTTAACACATCCCTACTAATATTATAAATGCGAAAGTAACTCTGTCTGTCTGTTGCGCTTTCACGCCTAAACCACTGAACTGATTTTAATGAAATTTGGTACAGAGATAGAGTTGACCTTGAGAAAGAACATAGGATAGTTTTTATCCCAGAATTTTGAAAGGTTATCTTGGAAACGCGATATAACCGAACTCCACGCGGGCGAAGCTGCGGGTCGAAAGCTAGTACTAAATAAAATATAATAATAACCTTGGTTCAATTTGATTATGTCATGGATCATTTTTATAAATTTTCGTGATTGAAGTAAACTAATCCATTTACTGATATTTTTATACAAATCCCACGAGTCCGGTTTTATTATATCCCATCAGTATACTAGTTTTAAGTTCTATATGGAAACATATTTCTTATCTGTATGACACAGTGTAGGCGAATTTAAACCTTATTGTATATACAAAAGGTTAAAAATTCTTTACCTCTTATAGATTATACGCTTAAGTTTTAATCGTTTCTTTAAATGGATTTATCCTTAAATATATGTTTATTATAAAGATTACTAGCTGACCCGGCAAAAAAATTTAAAAATTTTGGGTTTTATTTTTAATGCTACATTATAAAAAATAAAAACAAAAAATTTCTTCCGAAAATAAAAATTAAAGTGAAGAACCCTTATGACTTAGGGGTATGAAAAATGTTGGCCGATTCTCAGATCTAGTCAATATACTCACAAAATGTCATCAAAATCGGTCCAGCTGTTTCGGAGGAGTTCTCTGTCTAACACCGCGACACGAGAATTTTATATATAAGATAATTGTATTAGCGAAATGTTTGAAAAATAACCAGTGTTATAATTAATGACTTACGATGAGAATGTTTCGTAAATAGGCTTGGGTATCCTTGAAAGAAAAAGTATTATTAGGCCTGTTTGATATTATTGCAAATTAAACTCTATTTGCGGGACATAGAGTACTTAATCGAATGACGTATTATTTAATTGGCCTTACTTAATCACTAAATGTATGCATGAAATATTACAAGTTTATAAAGCGTGTCATATTGTATGCGTTATACGTGTTTGATGTTATTATATAAAATGTTCAATAAACAGTTTTTAAAGTAATAATATATTGACAATATTGTTACACTTTCTTTAGAGTTTATATCTAAAATGTCTTAATGCATCGGCTATATTTACATACTAGCTTTCCGCCCGCAGCTTCGCCCGAAGAGAACTTTCCAAAAGTCTGGGATAAAAACTATCCTATGTTCTTTCTCAAGGTCAACTCTATGTCTGTACCAATTTTTTTTAAAGTCAGTTCAGTGGTTTAGGCGTGAAAGCGTAACAGACAGACAGATAACTATTATGGGGCGTAACTTTTCAATGATTATTTCTGAATATCTATAGCGTAAATATTATCCGCCACTCATTGAATATATTGATAATATTATTTCAAATGTTACTTTGACATTAACATTTTTTTTTGCTTTATTATGATATGTACATAAAAATGTTAAAAAAAATGTTTATTTATGCTGAGGTGAGATTTACTTTAATACGCGAATTTGCGAATTGCTAATTGATGTTTGGAACTAGTGACGTTTGAAAGAAAAGGCGGGAAAATTATTAAAGATGGCGGACATAACATGTGTCAATTATAATGAGATGTAAGACTTTCACGAGTATCCATTTAAATGAAACTAATATTTTTCGGGTATTTTATTATTTACAAAACTACATATTCCTGACGTTTCGGTCACTATGCAGTTTGCAGCAACCGTGATCACATCACAAATCAAAATGCTGCAAAATAGCTCCAACGTCAGGAGTATGTAGTTTGAAATAATAAAATACGCTTATACAGGGTGACTGGTGAATTACTATCGATACTTGAGGACGTGATATTTGACGATCATATATGACAAAATAAAAATTAATATAACATAAATATTAATAAACTTCTAAGTAAAGTTAACCAAAAGTTATGTAATTAATTACGCATCGTGTGAACACCCTACAGATTAGGTATACACACACACTCACACATATGCGTGAGGGGGCGTGGTGTTGTATCAGCACGCCGCCGCACGCGTCCACACTTGGAACACTTGGAACGTATCCACACTTTATTTATTTATACGGAAATTTTGTCAAAAATTAAGTGCCTATTTTTTTTACATAATTCGAATGAGAATCATGTACCGAGTATTCTCCTTAAATATTGATAGTAATTCACCAGTCACCCTGTATAATCCGCAAAAATATTAGTTTCACTTATTCGAGTCTTTTATCTATCCCTACATATTTCCATATACCAGGTTCTTCTATTTAAGTATTTTCCAGGACTACCTTCGTTTCCTGGTGACGTACCATCGCTTCATTTCCTTCAGCCTGTACTGCGTTGGCTTCGTCTGGTTCGTTCTATCTCTGGTCAAGAGATACTACATGAGACAATTCAGTCTATTCGCCTGGACCCACGTTGCGCTACTAATTGTCGTCACACAAAGCTACCTCATTATACAGAACATATTTGAAGGTAAGCTCTATACTCTAATGATATCTAAGATTTTTGCGAGTACTCATTTAAATTTACTTATTTATTTCGCGTAAAATCCGAAAATATTAGTTTCATATCTATACTCTATACCTTTGCCTTAAATATATATTGTATGACATTTATGTTGTCTATAGGCATAAAGATTTTTTTATGTCTATGATCCATATATGAGGCTTAGGTAAGATTTAATGTTGCCATATATGTATATTTAATAAAAGCTACCTTTTCCAAATCTAGTGCCAAAATATGTTCGCGATATCTTAGTAATTACGGTTCATAATTTCTTTAATACAATATGTTATTTTAACAATTTTGAGGTTATTTTATAACTATTTTTGGTATAATATAAAAAATTACATGTTTCATACGATCTCATACAAATCTTATATTTTTTTCATTTATGTATCATAAATAGTCAAGTATGTAGAAATAATTGAGATACTATTTTTCTTTTATTTATATTAAACATCTCTATATTTGGTAAAATTATTCGAAATCATTTTGCGTCCACTTTTTTCATATGATGTAATTTTATTTTCAAACAAATTAATATTTACAAAATATTAGAATACATTTTACTCCATAATTAAATGTTATCTTTAACGTCAATAATAAATTATTTTCTTAATAAATGTCAGTCAAAAAACTAATAAATTAAAATCATGTGTTACTCAAACGTGTCGATAAAATGTAAGAATTACACACTGTTACTCAATAGAGTATAAAAATATGTTCCCTATTTGTTTATTGTATTGAACGATAGTGGAAAGTGGTCCACCTTTAAAAATATCGTCTATAGATAGCGTAACTATAGATACAGCGGCATTGTAGGTCATCCGGGGTCACGGATTAGTACTGTTCGGTATTTACTTATATGTACTACATAGATTTGATACTCACGTTAGTTGAACTTGGTAAATTATTATGTACATTAAACGAATACGGCACTATTTTTTTTTATTGCAGACTATCGTATTAATTTTAACATAATTAATTAAAGTAACTTCAACTTCATACAATTATTCAATAAATAAATGAAATAAATCAAAAAAGTCTTCCTTAAATTTGAACGAAAATAATAGTTTCACGTCGGTGATTCAATAATTATAAAAACACATTATAATAAGTATAGGTAATTATATTAAGATTTAAAAAATGTATTAAATTAAAAATAATGTTTAACTCAAACAGAAGTCAGAACATAATTTATTATGTATCAAAAAAATTATTTCTAAGATTATTATCTTCGTCTTTAGTAAACAAATGAATCCAATTTAAAAACAATTAACTTCAATAAGCAAGGTTCATTGACCTTACCACTGTAACATCGTCGAACAAACAGACAGTCAGCTGTTTTTCATTCATAAATAGTCGCTTATTACAGTATCAACGTAAATACACATAAGATATATGTTTATTGATAAGAGAATAGTTTAATATCAGTCTCAGTACATAATCTATTTGTAGTTTGTTTTACCAATAGACGGTCGCCAGACAAGTAATGCTGTTTAATAAAGCCACTTATACTGATAAATTGTTTGTGTCACTCTCATTACAATGAAACTCGGACTTTTTTTTTTTTTTTTAACGAGGAGAATCTTTCAAAGACTTCCCGCCGCGGGGGAAACACGGCGGGGGCGTGTGGGATTTCCACCCACTAAACTCCTCAGCGTTCTCTGCGCAGTGCGTAGGCTAGTGAGCGGGAACGGCGAGCCATGCTTCCGCTCACTACGCACAAGTCCCGAAAGGGACTCCGCCATCGGCAGGGGTATCAGTGGCTAGACCACACCACCCCTCCGACTCAAGAGCAGCGTGCCGGGAACGCCAAACACGCCGCTCTTACTCAGGCCTATGTTACCCGGACGCCGGTTCCCCACCGACGCCCGGAGGCTCCTCACTGGGGAGGCAGGTCGCGGGCATATGCCCGCTGCCTTCGACCCAGTCTACGTCGACGCAAGGGCGCCGAGGAGGGGTCGTCTTCCCGTGCACGTTCTGCGGCCTCTTTCCGCGACATCACGTGCTCGCAGAACTTGACCATCGCCTCCCAGGCCCTCTCGCTACCGACCATGGCCTGAACCACAGCCGGCAACGATAGGTCTGCGCCAACCACTGTGGTGAGCTGGCGACGCTCTACAGCCCACGCAGGGCACTCCGCCAAAGTGTGATCGGCCGTGTCATCCATGCAACTGCAATGGTGACACGCCGCAGTCGACTCTCTCCCGACTATGTGGCACAGATACCTCCCGAAGCTACCATGCCCCGAGAGGATCTGCACCAGCCGGAAGGTCAAGGAACCGTGTCGGCGGTCCACCCACTCTTTAAGGAGCGGGCGAATAGCCTCCACGGTTCGCAACCCGGCCACTGGCTCAGAGAGTTTCCACCTCCACCGGCGAAGCAGTAAGGCGATCAAGGAGCGCCGCCAACCTTCCACCCGATCCCGGTCCGGACTCGGACCCCGGGATCGACAATGAAACTCGGACTTGGACTAAGGGTTGTCAGCGTTTAATTATAAATATATAACATACATACATAAATTAAATATTAATATTCTGTTTAAAAAAATATATATTTATTAACACCCATGAAATTATGTACATAATTTGTTTTTAGCTTAATAACTAAATCTAGGGTTATTACATTGTCATCTTTTGTAGTATACCTCTGACTCTAAAACTAATATAAATCTGAATAATTTTTGGTATATCATATATTTTTTAAGTAAATTATTGTCCTTAACACGCTTATATTAGCTTGGGCTGTATGTATGTAACGGAATCTTTGAGCACGATTTTAACCGGTTTCTAAACATCTGATTAACATGAAACTTTGCATATGTCTCAAAGACCAATGACGGTACAATAATTCGTTAATATTTTCCCATTATCCTTGTTAGGGCCGCCAGGATTAATATATTCTTTTCATAGATCCTCTATGAGAGTGAAAGGGACAGAGCTAGTGTGCGATCTACGCATGTCCACAAAAAACTAATTGATAAATTGTACTAAAAAATATAAAATAAATATTTATTTTATACATGAGATGAAAGCTAACTTGTTGTAATTTTCTCGTGAAGTACCTAATAATCATATATATTATCTCACTCTTATAAAAATAATTCCAATACACAGTTAAAGTATTAAAAATCATTATTTTTAATACATATTATTATACAAATTCTCAACAAAGTATGTATTCTATATGTTCCGTGAGCCAGCGATCTATATCAGGAGCACATTATATTCTAAACAATGTTTTATTTTGAGATCACTTTATACGAGATTCACTCGTCTATCTTGGTCTTGTTGATACGCGATGTACGTAAACTAGCTTATGCCCGCGATTTTGTCTGAATTAGTTTCTCAATTAGAAATATATAGCTGACCGGAGAATTTTTTCGCTTTGAGGGCTATAAATTAAAGATAATTTAGATTTTATTACCTTATTTTTTTTACCTAGTGGATTGTAAATTATCTTATGTCCGTCTCCTACTTCTACGCTACCTCCTCACCAATTTACAGCCAAGTACGTACAATCGTTCTCGAGTTATAAATAGTGTAACTAACACTATTTTCTTTTATATATATAGATAACATAGTAATTTTGTATGACTCTTATGCTTTATATAAACTAGATAAGGCATAGAAAATCATATTATAATCAACAAATCTGTGCTGTGAGGTCAGATGAATATAAAAAGTTATATCCTTATTATAGAAGTACTTCTACAGTGTAACGGACGCAATGTATTAGTGTGGCAGTTTGAAATGCTCATATACTAGTAGTTAAGATGAATCTGGTTCGACCTGACCTTGGATGGGTGACCATTAATTGTGATAACTAGAATCAATTTCTATTAATTCTCCAAATATTTGATTTTACGTAAAAATAATTTCTTGAATATGATATCAAAATTAGTAAACAAAAGTGAGACGAAAAACACAGTATATATTTTCATATTTAAATAATTGTACTTACTCCCAATAATAGCTAGTAAAAGAAAATGTCAATTTTTTACTCATCATCATAATGTTCATAATATGTATATATCTGTATTGCTATGTTCAAAAAATCAATAACTTTATTCCCAAATAAATCTTTAACATATTAATAAAAGTTAATGTCATTTATCAATAATAATAAGTAACTGAAGTAGATCACTGCAAGGTAACTAACAAGTGTCCTCTTTATAACATTGTAGCCACAAACAAAACAAGTAATGAATGGTATCCCGATATGGTGACGTGAATAGACCACACTGGGACATACTATTGTTTCGCCATTATAACAGAGAATCTATTATATTGAGACAAGTCTTACATTTCTACTCGTAAGACTATTTTACACTATTGAATACCTCCTACGTAATTAACGCGAGGGATTTAAAGAAATAGGACATAATCTGACAAAAAAAACGGCGAACATATTGTTATAAGAATGATTCTAGGCAACAAACATTGGAAGAATATTCATCATCAGCTTATCAGAGCCCACTGCTGAGCAAAGGCCTCTTCTCACATGGAGAAGATTTAAGAATTAATCACCACGCCTGCTCAAGACGGGTTGGCGATTTAAAATTTATAATTTGAAATTATAAGTCCAGGTTTCCTCACGATTTTTTCCTTCACCGTCTGTCAGTGGTGTCTAAATACTCTTAGAAAGTACATATGACTCTGAAAAATCACATTTTTACTAGCCAGGATCGAACCCGCGCCCTCATATTAATGTGAACTAAAGATAATATTATTACAACATACATGTATTCATTAAAAAGCCAATAATGTAAAATACATATTATATATATTATATATACAGGGTGACTGGTGAATTACTATGAATATTTAAGGAGCATACTCGGTACATGATTCTCATTCGAATTATGTAAAAAAAATAGGTACTTAATTTTTGACAAAATTTCCGTATAAATAAATAAAGTGTGGACACGTTCCAACTGTTCCAAGTGTGGACGCGTGCGGCGGCGTGCTGATACAACACTACGCCGCCGCACGCGTATGTGTGTGTGTTTATACCTAATCTGTAGGGTGTTCACACGATGCGTAATTAATTACATAACTTTACTTAGAAGTTTATTAATATTTATATTATATTCATTTTTATTCTGACATTTATGATCGTCAAATATCACGTCCTCAAATATCGATAGTAATTCACCAGTCACCCTGTATATATGTGCATATGTCCATTTATCGTTCGTTCTATATCCAATTATTAGCCTCGACCGACCTTAAAATATGTATATTACTGTTTACGAAATGCATTTTCAATGTCAAAGTATTCCAAAATTTAGTTTCATGAATAGTGAATTCACTGCTGAATTAATTTCGTAACTGGGTTTATTATAAATCATATCTGTTCTATAACTGTATTATATAAACAATACACCAATTTGGTATCTGGGTCAATTGGTATATAGTCTCAATAAATAAAGCTATGTACACATTAATAGAACTGAATATGATGTATACCTATAGATGATAAATAACAATAAGGCAGACCCTGGCTAAAGATGGGAGGTTGCCAGGAAGAAAAAGAAGATGACGATAAATAACAAGACTGACTGACAGACACTCACATCTCGTCTGCCCGTGATCACGGTTGATGAAAAGCAACCGAAACATCGGGAGTATGTAGTTTCTATGAAAAAATACAAAAAATATGAGTTTCATTTAATAGATCTTTTATAATATAATAAAATCGAGACCGTGGGAATATATATAATGTTAGTTTTTTATAATATATTAATAGAAATAAAGTCGTAAGTTATTTTAAAATATTCAAATTAAAACTACTCCGCCTAGTATCATTGTATGTTAATATCACGCATGTGTTAAAATCAAGGAACGATGTTGTTTAAACAGGTTTATTAATTATTCTGCTCTAAATCAAATATTTATGCTATTTTAAATTAAACAGGTAGAAATATGTGATAACTTCTCTTATAGAAGATTAGTTCAAATAATATTAGTACCTTTTTCCTTCCTAGGAAACCAACAATATTAGATCTTATATTTTAGATATGTATATATTTGCAAAATGCCGACATATGTCTATCTTAAAGTAGGTACATATAACCCATAATTGCTTCTTAAGCTTTTTAATTTTAATTTGATATTCTCACCACGGTTTTGGTTCAGACGTAGGGCTGATGAGCTACTGAAACTATCTCGTTTTTTGGTAATTTTACTAAGCATTATTGTTATTATATTAAACAAACGTAAAACATATTCTTGTATATAGTTTTCTTATAAAAGAGATAACAATCAAATATCTTCTTTTTTTCTCTTTTCCAATACATTCATAGTCAAAATCGGACAAAAACAGTTATAGTAACTAAAAAATGCGGATATTTATAATCAAAACATACTTCCCGCTGTATGGGGACCCTGAATAATATTTTTATTGAAAGCTAACGATGCATTGTTAAGATTTTCATTACAATAAAATTGTTATTAAAATTGTTTATATGTATGATTTTTTTACTGTCTTTGCTTTTATCTTCTTTTATTAGATCTTTGATTTCCTTGAGAATTTGGTTTATATATGTACATATATACATATGTACAATGAGATTTAAGACGTTCGCGAGTATTCATTATAAAAAAACTAATATTTTCTGATTACTACGCCTTTCTCATCTCGACAGCCCGTGATCACGGTTGCTGCATAGTACCGAAACGTCGGGAATGTGTAGTGTTCAAAATAATAAAATAACGTATAATGAGCCGAAAACATTATTTTTATACATACGTATATGTTTTTTTGTGTCCTTGTAGGTCTCATCTGGTTCATAGTACCAGTTTCGATGATAATCTGCAATGACGTCATGGCTTACGTGTTCGGCTTCTTCTTCGGCAAGACACCTCTCATCAAACTCAGCCCCAAGAAGACGTGGGAGGGATTCATCGGAGGCGGCTTCTCTACCGTCGTGTTTGGTTTGGTGGTGAGTGAGATTATTTTATGCTATAGATGCCAAACGAGCAAATGGCCCATTTGATGGGCGGTAATCACCATTGCCCATAGACATCCGCAAAAAAAAGGTATGCGCGTGAGTTGACAACCTTGATTGTTGTGGAAGGGTGGGGATAAGGAGATGGCAGGAAAGGGAAGAAACAGGGAAAAGGCAACCGTCTCTCTCACTCATTTGATGAAACGCAGCCAGTAAAGGCTACTTAACGCCGATGTTCTGTGAGAGGGTGGTACTTACCCGGTCGAGCCAGCCCATGTTCGAGCTAGAATTGGAGTAATAAGAAATTTATAAATGATAATATTGTATAGAAGATAGATAAGACAAACGTTTCCAATCATGTAAGTGAAATGCCAAATGCTACACATACCATAATTCACTGCTTATTGTGGACAAATGTTAACAATATATATCAAAAAAACTAATAATAACTAATATTCTAATATAATGTTTCATGTTCCAGCTATCCTACCTCATGTCTCAATACCCCTACCTGGTCTGCCCCATCGAGTACTCGGAGTCCCTCGGCATGACCATGGACTGCGAGCCGTCGGGGCTGTTCCGTCTGCAGGAGTACACCACGCCGGCCTTCATGCTGCCGCTTGTGAGGGCCGTTAGTGACGTCATTACCGCCCCCCCCATACACATGTGACGTCACCGATAGTGAAAAACAGTCATTACCGCCCCACCATTCACATATATATAACTCAACTAGCATTTGATATTTCTACGTATCTATATTGGAAGCAGATTTTTAGAAGAAAGTTTAAGCTGAAATATTTTCTATATTTACGATTTTTAAGGTAATTTTTTCACAATTAGTAATAAATTAAACACTAAATAACTACAAATTGTGAAAAAATTACCTTAAAAGTCGTTTATATAAAAAATATTTCAGCTTAACCTTTCTTGTGATAATCTGCTTCCATTGTAGATACCTGGAATTATCCAATACTAGTTATTCGGTTTTTCACTACCACAGACGATATACATTTGAGTAATATCACCATACTTACAATTTATAATTTTTTCATTAATGGCTAGTTGTTATGTAGTTTTCATATCATAAATAATAACTATATACTACTCAGCTTACTTTACTTGTAGGTTAATGCACAATATATATTAATGATTTATATACATGTATTATTTCAGTTTGGTCGTGAGAAAATCAACATATATCCTTTCATGATCCACTCTCTTGCATTGAGTATCTTTAGCTCTGTAATTGGACCATTTGGCGGATTCTTTGCTTCTGGCTTCAAAAGGGCTTTCAAGATAAAGGTATGAAAGAAAAAAAAATATACCATACTACATATGATTTTAGATATTATTAATTTACCTCTAAATCATCTTATGTCATTTATTCCATAGATATAAGTATTTGAGGTAAATATAATGTAATTACTTGTACAGTACATAAGTACTTATTCTAATAAGTGGATGATAGATAAAATTATCTGTAGTGGACTTATAATAAACATTCAATAATTATGTTTGAGGAAATTATTATATAAATTGAATAAAGCTGCAAGAATTGGTATAGTTAAGGATAACTTTTAGTTTATTGATAAATATTAATCAAGAAACATTTTGTATTTATATATTAACACTAAAGAAATTAGATATTCCTTCAAATTCATTAAGATTAGATATAAATTCCATTACCAACAAGCTGTTATTCATGACACCATATGTATATATTATTATCTTTATAATGTATTTTAAATATAATGAACTAAATTCACAAAGTGCTAAGAAATTATATGATTTTTTCAAAATATTAAATCTTCAATAAATTTGACTATCCATCGCCTAACAAGCGTCTGTTTGTGTTATCAAATAAAATATAGAATTATTACATTAAAAAAAATCTACTATATAATTCATAGTAGAATAAAAAAATGCAAGTATTTTTAATTATTCAGTTAGTTTTTATTTAATATACTAGCTTTCTGCCCGCAGCTTCGCCCGCGTGGAGTTCGGTTATATCGCGTTTCCAAGAGAACCTTTCAAAAGATGAAACTAATATTTTTCGGATTTTACTTCGCGTTTTATTTTTGATTTGAAAACTACATACTCCCGACGATGTCACATCTCGTCTGCTCGTGATCACGGTTGCTGAAAAGTAGCCGAAACGTCGGGAGTATGTAATTTTCAAATCAAAAATAAAACGCGAAGTAAAATCCGAAAAATATTAGTTTCATTTAAATGAGTACTCGCGAAAATCTTAGATCTCATTTTGTCAACCTTTCAAAAGTCTGGGATAAAAACTATCCTATGTTCTTTCTCAAGGTCAACTCTGTCTGTACCAAATTTCATTAAAATCAGTTGAGTGGTTTAGGCGTGAAAGCGTAACATACAGAAACACAGACAGAGTTAATTCGCGTTTATAATATTAGTAGGGATTATAAAGCTTGTTTTTTGTCATATTTCCAGGACTTCGGTGACGTGATCCCCGGTCACGGCGGCATCATGGATCGTTTCGACTGTCAGTTCCTGATGGCGACCTTCGTGAACGTCTACATAACCAGCTTTATTAGAACCGCAACGCCACAGAAACTACTGCAACAGGTATACTGACAAAAAAGTAGGAACAAAGACCTTCTTAAATTGGTCTTCCTACCTCGATAAGTAATATACAAGGAAATATATGATTCCTAGAAATAACTATCAAGTCAGTGGTGGCCTAGTGGTTAAAAGGCCGGCCTCTTATGCATGGGGCGTGAGTTCGATCCTGGCAAGTACCAATGTGATCTTTCCGAGTCATATGTACTTTCTAAGAGTATTTAGACATCATTGATTAATGCATTCCCAAAGAGGGTTGATGTCAGGCAGGCGGCCAGTCGTAAAAACAATTCGTCAAAAACTATTCAACACATGTAAGGCAGACCCTGGCTAAAGCTGGGTAATTGCCAGGTAGAAGAAGTGATATAGTAATTTTACGCAACTGATATTTCTTTATTGATTGACTACTGGAGAAGTATTAAACATTAAATCCGTCTTTTATTAATTTTGGGCAATAAAGAATAAATAAATTAAAATCACAGTATGATAAATTATCGATTGAAACAAACATAAACACACAAGCTATTATATCTTAGAATAGTTTATGTCTCAAAGACAAATGATAGAAACATTTATAATAATTTATTACTTTTATTTCAATCATCTGTTTACTTAATGGATTATATTTTTTTATTGAGACAGTTTATATATAATATATAAGTTTATGTAGTATACCTGATATTATGTGAAAAAGTTTTAATTTAATTTTAAACTATTATATGAAGAACTTCAAAAAGATTCTAGAACTGGAAGTCAATCTATTTTCTTAATGACATTGTTTTGACTTTCACTGGGCGTATAGCTGATAGAATAATTTGTTACTTAAGCTAGTTTTGTTTCTAAGAATTTTATATATATTTTTAATAATATAATTAATAAAAAAATACTTCTCCTTCTGTTTTCATAGTTACAATAATATTAAATATAAGTTTTTTATTTCCAGGTCTACAATCTTAAGCCAGAGCAACAGTTGCAGTTATTCTACGCTCTCAAAGAGTCGCTTGAGAACAGAAACATTTTAAACCTGATACCTTAAATGTGTCATGCATTACTTAGTGCGGAGTCACACTTGATGATTAATATAATAAACAAAACCATATGGCATCACTATATCATAACATATATTTCGTTGGAATTGTATGTAAATTCACACATATATATGATATATATCAAAATGCAAGTATTTAAAAGCCCACCGAACATCAGTTGATATAATCATTAGTGTGACACCGCACTAAGACATACATATCCCAAATTTTGTTTGAAAATACATTACATTCTAGTCCTTACTAATTATGTACTCAAACGTAAATACAGATATAATACAGATTCTATATGTTAACTACATAGACGATTAAGTTAATATGACTAATATAACAGATTGACAAATATTTCTCTTCCTTATATATAACAATTGGCTGCAAATATATGTTGCTGATACTATGTACAAGATAAATGTATTAAAATTATTTAAATATATATATTTAACTGAATATTTATGTTCTGAAACATAACTCGAATTTTTGTTCATAGTATATGTATTTTATATAAAATTTTATGAAGTGTTATGATTATGACAAATGAAAGTATAAGAAGGTTTTCAGTATGCTTATTCCTAGTTTGTATCGTTATTATACAAATATTTCCTTCGTATAAGGGAATGAAATACTGTTAACGCTACGTATGTAGTACGTATGATGACGCGAACTCAAATTAAGGACTAAGGAATACTGATATATGGAAGGTATGTTTTGAGATCACTTCAATATATGTTACTTACATATATTTATATGTTTTCAATGAGTTTTGTATATATCTATATAAAAATTTTGTTTAACATAATTATCCTTTCTCATTGGATCAAACAGGGAATATATGCATTTCTTTCTATAATTTAGACTGAAAATTTGACTGCTTTATCACGTGCTAAATATTGTAAACAATATTCCATTAATTTCGGACGTTATTTTATCTATTTTTGTATGTATTTTACTTGAAAACTAACGATACCTTCAGTTAGAATTTAGAACCCTGAGTTAGTCGAATATATATACGGGTTTTATTAAGTATTTTAATCATATATGTGAATGTTTCCTTACAATACTCTGTGAAGGTTTGATTATTTAAAAAAAAATACTGGCATGAAGGGAAAATTAAGAAATATATATATTTTGTCACAAATATTGACTATTTTGGGGTTTATTGGGTTTAATTCACATTGTGTATAATATAGTATGAAATCACTACGTTTGTAGAGTTGTTAAGTTTTGTTTTTTGTGATTTATTTGTGATTTTAAGTTACGTTGCGATATTTGTATTGCTTTGTGTTTTTTTGTTGATACAGATTGTGATTTATTTTGAACTTAGCCTTTCTTATAGAAACGTTTTGCTTTAGATGGTTACATCTATAGTTTGAGGGATTCAAAATGATTAGTTCAATAAATATTTCGTTTTTATAAAGTTTAATTTAAATTAATGTACGGACCAAAAAAAGATGGTTGATTTTCCATATATTTACTGTTACGCGAATTACTTTAAATTTATTTGCCATAGGACAAAGCTGTATAGTTTGTTTATGCTAAATATTTATTATATGTTAAAACATAATAAGCTGTAGACGAGTTTAATTCAATAATATCCTATACATCAGAAAGAAATTTCCACGTATTAAAATAATTACATCAATCGATGTTAGTATTAAAAATTTTGATGTTCGTAATTAGATTAGTAAGTGTATAGAATTTTATTGTCAGCTATTTATTCACTTGAACTGGCAACGAGTGTTGCCATACAGTGGAGGTGTCATGACGTGTCTTAGGAAAAATATATCTATATTTGGTGTTGGCAACATTAAACTAGGTGAATATTAGCTCATAGATTTTTTTGTCTATGCTTCTATGTTTTTTGAATGTTCATAATTAATAAAAAAATCATCATGAAATAGAAATAAGATCTGATGAAATCGATGTTTAATCTGCTTTTATTTTTGTTCAAGAAATATAACAACCAAAATATATGTAAATGTAGTTACTATGTGACTATGGTGTATTTTCTCATCTTTATTCATCTTAGATTGTATTCAGACAAATGAAAAAATCTATTTTATTAAGTTCTATTTTCTTTGTTATTATTAAGAGTTCGATTTCTCCATAGAATAATTGTCTATTTCCTACATGGGTACTTTATAAATGTGTCTAAATATAAATTATTTATTAGTGAATCCTATTGAGCTAAATAAATTAATGATTCTTGTCTCCGTGTCTTTTATTTATGAATAAAATAACCATCTTTGATTTCGACAATGACTTCAAAATTGCAGATTTTGAGACTTTATCAAAATATTCTTTCATAGCCTTTCTATGAAACAAAAGAATGGATTAATTAAGGTTTTAAAGAGTGGCAATTTTTTCTCCAGAAAAAATGTATTAGCGAAAAATGAGATAATTTCCCATATACATATCAATGCTTAAAAAGGTAAGGGTAATTCCATAAATTAAAACAGTTGCATATAAAAGTTTCCAAAGACAATCTACACACACAACTTTTATAGGAAGTGATACTTTAGAAAAGGCCTACAAATAAAGTTAAATACTATAGCCTACCCCACCTAACGTAGGAAGATGCAAAGAAAAAGAAGACTATAATATATTTTGTTTAACCCTTATTAAATATGGTCTATTTAAAACATAAAAACGTTAATTTCTTCTTTGCTATTCGGTTTATTCTTCATCCCGTTTAAATTATGTAAACAACTGTATCAAATTTTGAGGTATTTTTGATTTAAGAATTTAGAAAAAAAACAGGACTTAGCGGTATTGATTTCACTCGAATTGAATAGACTGATTTGGAAAAACCTCAGAACTTTACTAACTTTAGAGCCGGACTACCATCGTGATTTGTTCCCTTAGCTGCCACGACAGTTGGTAATTACCTCCTATTCCACTTCCGTCCTTTATTTGAAAAATAAATAAAAACAACAATTTTTTTGCGGTTTCCTCTTCCATATTTGAGAATTTCTGGAACATCAGGAGATTTCATTAACAACTTTTTTTAACCCATCTCAGTGACAATCACTCTTGCGATTGCGTTAGACCCTATGCCTGAAATAATCATCTCACAATGGGCCTTAACGTCCAGAAATCTGGTCGGCCTCCGTATACCAGAATTGGTGCTCAAAATGTGTATTCTGGGGGTATGACCTGTCTTAACAAGTATTTTCACACGTCCTCACCATTAAGAGAATTCCCGTCTTAGTTGAAGATTGCCAACGTGAACTCAGTTCCTAAAACGGGTTACAGATTAGATTTATTGAATTACAGGCACTATGCCACAGTCTACCATCTTTTGAAATGATGTAGTGTGTGATTAACAATAAGCTCTGGGACACCTAAAAAGCACGATGTGTTCAGCGAAATACATTAGGCTTTCATCACGGGCTCTCGGTTCGAAATCTTCTAGTGTCTAATCTAGTTCGAAATCTCATTCATCGCTGGGCTTGCGCACTTGAGAGTCATGGTAACGCTTTGGCAGTCAAAAGTTTTGATACGCCGAAAGTGTTCGAACGTGTATGGCATCGGGGGTGTGTTATATAAGTAAGGGATGCAACAATATACTTACACGGTCACGTTGTGGAAAAAAGTCGCAAAAACATGAAACTACAGTATTCTATCCAGGATGTGCGGATTGGGGTCAGGATAACGTGGTCTTGACTCCAAACATGGAATTACCGTCAGTATAAAGATACAATTTGAGTTTACCGTTATGAAAACAATTCACTGTGCCTTGTGGTTCAATAGTACTAGGACAGTTCACAACCTCTAAGAATATGATGTTTTTTTTATTGATATCTAAAGTGACGCCCAAATCCGGAGTCACTTAGAAGACAAGGCCAAGTTGTCCTCCATGAATCTTGGTTTGCTAAACAGAGTCAGGCGTTACTTTACTCAGGGGAAAAAATATTGCTGTATCAAATGCGAGTCCAATGGAACATGATGTACTACTCTCATATCTTCTGGTGTGAACACATACCGACTTGAACTTGTTGACTCCGTCTAAAAACCAGTTATAAGTATTATTGGTGATCCAGTGGCCACAGACGGTTTAAAACCGTTAACTTTTAGGCAGTTCTTGCCTCAGTTTGCGTGTTCTACAGCCGTTATAGAGGGAATGTTTCGAGGAATTGTTTGACATCATGCCGAATGACTGAATGAATGGCCGGACTACTGATGTACTGAGATTCCAGATGAAGATCCTCAAGTGATCACTGGCGCTGTAAAATAAACTCCCTGATGATTTGTCCTAAGTTACTACTGTTTTAGTGTTTGTTCTAGAGAGGAGTGAATAGATATTTGAAGGGTTGGCAACGCGCAAATGACACTCCTGGTAATGCAGGATCCTAAAGGTTACGGCAACCACTTAACATTAGATGGGCCTCGAGTCTGTTTTTCATAGTCGTGATATAAAAAAAGCTATATATTTATATATATTATGTTTATGAATGCTAACTGCTTGTAGCGACTACTCGTCTTTCCAGTTATATGCTCAATAACGATATATTATTCTGCTATATTTATATTTGATAATCAATAAATTCTAACAAAATAATTCCAAAACCCGAACATGTTAACTAAATCACATAATAAATCGGAAGGTTTTCCGTCAGTCTAGTTCTAACGCGTCTCGGTTCGTTCCCACGCTACTTACGTAATTTTGACGACACGAAGTTTTAAATGCCGTGTCGTTCGTAGTGTGTATTTAAACTTAGATTTAAATTCATTGATATAACACTGTGATTCATAGTTAGATAGTTTACAATTAGCAAATTTCAATAATAAACTAGTATAAGGTTTGCTTACTCGCAAGTAACTTCTGAAAACAAAGTTTTTAACCATAAAGCAATACAAAAAACATAACACCTTTATAACGTTTAATAACACACAATGGAGACGCGTCACACTTGAGTGGAGCAGAGATAATATTTATAATGCACGTCGCGTCAACTCGACTACGATGTGTATAAAAAGGGAAAGTGGCTTAAGTTTTATAGACGCTTTCATTGGAACATCTAAAAAACTAAAGAAAACATACATAACGCTTCTATGAATGTTAAAACGAAAACTAGAGTAGATACACTCGTGTTAAAAACAGAGAATAGTTTAAGAAGTATATGTTATACATAAATATTGGCTGTAGTCTTGATTTTAATGTTCGAATAAATAATTATTTAAATTGGATTTATTCAATCGATTAACATTTAATATTATCGCATATCAAACGATGCTCGAATGATTTGTTGTATTGATTTAAGGAGACTTGTCTCAAAGATAATACATAGTACATAGTATTTCCTTCAATTAAGCAATATTTGCTGTCTATTTCACAGCTTTTCCATGTTTAGGATGTTTAATATATGATGACAACTCTCGTTAACTTATGTCCAGTTTTCCCTCTTTCCCGGAACTGAAGTTTCAATGTTATAACAAGGCATACACCCTTCAATTCCAGGTGAGACAAAAACAATTGCTACTGTCATTTATTGTAAACTGTCTGAATACTGCGTCAGTAGATTGCAATATCATTTTAATCTATAAGGTAATTAAGAATCCAAATCTGATTTAATCCCTACTAATATTTTAAATGCGAAAGTAACTCTGTCTGTCTGTCTGTTACGCTTTCACACCTAAACCATTAAACTGATTTTAATGAAATTTGGTACAGATATAGAGTTGACCTTGAGAAAGAACATAGCATAGTTTTTATTCCAGACTTTTGAAAGATTCTCTTGGAAACGCAATATAACCGAAATCCACGCGGGCGAAGCTGCGGGCGGAAAGCTAGTAAGTAATAAAATGATTGTCATATTTTGTTTATTGGAATTATAAAAAACAATAAAAAAAAAGTTCAAACATATGAAATTTCTTCTTTACAACGACCTTGCTTACGTAACATAATCTGAATTCGATAACACATAAAATATTTGTAAACCTGTTTATAAATGAGTTGTATGTACACTGTTTAATATTAAAGGTACTAAAATAAACTTACTTACCACTAAAATTATTATATTTCAAGTCACAATTTCAACTCGAGATTGCTCTAAATAATTCGTTCAGAAATACTAAGTACATATAAATATTTTCAATATGCAAAATATATAAAATTACGTTCTGAATATAACAAATTAAATAATATAATAGTTTAATTATAATTAAGTTTTAATTCATAAAAACATAACGATAAACTTTCTCCAAAACTATTATATGACACACTATACACAATCTGTGTTCCGAGTCAGTCCCGCGTCGACTCTCGTCGGGTCCGCACGTCTCTTGAACACATTACCCGTGCGTCAGTCAGCGATGCACGATCTCAAACACGCGGTCAATATTGACATTGTGAGAGTATTATCAGTGGCTTGTGACTTAGGGTGGGTTTAATATTTAATTCGAGTGTAATCATCACTATATTGTGTGTTTATTATGCTACTAATATTATAATTGCGAAAGTTTGTGAGTGTGTATGTATGTTTGTTACTTCTTCACGCTCAAACGGCTGAACGGATTTTTATAAAATTTTGTATACAGGAAGCTGACGTCCAGGAATAAGACATAGGCTACTTTACATCCCGGATAACCGCGGGGCGCAGCTAGTATAAAATATATTGCTTAGTATAGATAGTGTTATGCAAGACATAGATCATCTTAGTGAATTTTTCGAAGCCTTCTAATAGAATGAATAGTTTCTTCTAGCTATTAAAATTGTAGCTCAAATTTATAACAATGAATCATAAAAGTATTAACGTATCCGGCTCGGAAATGATTTCTTCATATTTTAATATGTTTTTATAACTCGAATCACACGCTAATTAGCCGGCGTCCGTTTTTATATGGACTAGAAAAAAACAATTCCATAATAAAATTAATTTAAGAAAAAAAAATAGAAATAGTTATGAAAAATTTTAAGGCTGTTTATATATTATAATTTTTGTTGTTTATCCTCCTAAAATTATGTAACTTTTATACAATGTCGTTGTTTACGTTTCGTTAAAATCCACATATAATGCAATTTATTATATGTTATTCAGCGGAGAGCGACTATTTAAAAACCTTTACACAAACATACACATTCATACCTTTACAAACAAATAATATAGAAGCGCGTTGAAATCTTTTATACTGCAGTATTTTTTCATACTATAATGAAAAAGATATAGATATTGCAAATCTATAAAAAAGTAATATTTTTTAGTCATATTGGTGTAATAGGTAATTTTATTGCCTTCATATTTTTATTTTGTTAATTTGTGGGAATAATTTAATCATATGCATAAGGTACTATATTTTTTAACTAGCTTTTACCGCGGCTTCGTCCGCGTGGAATAGTTACTTCCGGCAGATTTTTGGTTCTTCCCACATAGTTCCCGTTCTTGCGGGGTTTTCGGAATAGTCGAGTTCCCGTAGAATTTTCAGGATAAAACCTATGTTTTTTTAAAATTCACAATGAAGTACTCTTAACCAACACATATTTATTTGTTTATTTGAATAAAGATTAATATCATTATGTTGATACAACTTAAACAAATTATTTCGACCAAATTAGGTACCATAAAAACGGTTTTTGTGAGTTAATCTTAAAAGATAGACATATACTGTCGCGGAATGTTTTTTAGATTATTAAAAGAGCTATTATTCTTTAATACATATTTTTTGTGTATCTTGAACCGTTTTCACGGCGCACGCAACGGAAGGCTTCAAAGAAGAAATAATTTCTCTCGTTTTTTACACATTTACCACTATATCTTTGCTCCTATTGGTTGTAGTGTGATGTTATATAGCCCACAGCCTTCCTCGATAACTGGACTACCCAACACAAAAAGAATTATTCAATTCGAACCAGTAGTTTCGCAGATTAGCGCTTTCAAACAAACAATCTAACAAACTCTTCAGCTTTAAAATATTAGTATAGATTACACTTTATAAAACTTATAATTTTATAATAAAAATACATAATGATACAATGATGTCTCTCATATACATATATGTATGTGTAAAATCTTTCTGGCCGTTTGTAAAATATTGTTGTGTTGTAAAGAATCGGGCGATTTTTTTTTATAAAATGCCATATACTAGTTATAGTAAAATAACCGTTAAAAATTACTTTATCCATATTAATTCTCTTTAAGAAATACCAAAAACTGAAACACGAAATTGAGATTAAAATTATTTCTATTCCCGAATGTGAGAAACTGAGACTTGATAAGATCTTAAAACGAAATGGGTTCTGAAGAATAGAAACAGAAAGAGTTAAGAAAATTCCCTAATATATTATTATAAATATGGATAACTTGAAGTTTATATTATAGAATTATACCAAACACACACACACACACACACACAATACATATATATGTATATCTCTTCTAGGAATATTCAAATATATGTATGCGATCTTCAATTACATCCGTATAGTTGAAAAACTATCTAAATATATAAAAATAGTATTATTAAAAGGTTAGGAAATATTAAAATAGCGTCTAATATACATATATAGTTATTTTTGTTTAGTATTTAAATGTTTTCTGTAAGTATTTATTTAATTAGTCGTGGTGGCCTAGTGGTTAAAAGGCCCGCCTCTCATGCATCGGGCGCGGGTTCGATCCTGACAAGTAACAATGTGATTTTTCCGAGTCATATGTACTTTCTAAGAGTATTTAGAAACTACTGATAGATGAAGGAAAATATAATGAGGAAACCTGGACTTATAGTTTCACAATTATAAGTTTGAAATCACCAACCAGTCTTGAGCAAGTGTGGTGATTAATGCTCAAACCTTCTCCATGTGAGAAGAGGCAGCTCAGCAGTGGGCTCTGATAGGCTGATGATGAAGTATTTCTGGTTTACGACTGAATTATTAGTAGAGAGAGAAGGAGATATAGATAGAAAGAGAAGGATAGATACACAATAAAATAGTTCCCAGTAATAATATCCTTTGAAAGGATGTAAAAGATTTAACTTTTATTATAGATACATTTAAGTAAATGAAAATATATGTATTTAATAATATTTTCAGATCCTTATAACAAACTGCGGAGATGACGATGAAGTTCAACAGACTAACTCTACATTTACGAACATTTTTGATGGTAAGTTAATATTAATACATAGCAAACTAACATTTATTACAATAATAATAAGGTATATATTTCTATGTAAGAATTAAAATATGAAATTTCTATATTTTTCAGTATGTGTTTGATATAATATTAAATTGTACGAGAAAATTTTCTTACATAAAAAAATCTTTACTTTTACTGTAAAACGTATTTATATAGGGTCGTATTAAGCAATTTTTATATCAAAATAAAACTACTATTTTTCAGATTACTAGGCATATTATATTATTTAAAAAAAACTACGTACTAACAACGTTTTGGTAAAAATGATCATTGTTGCTGCAAAGTAACCGAAATAGTAATTCGAAAAATATTAGTTTCATTTAAATAAATATTCGCGAAAACCTTAAATCTTAAACTTTTTATTAAATGATCTTTATTTAATCATTAATTACTATTATTTTAACTATTGCTAAAATATTTTGCTAATATCAAAACTAATTACTGAGATTTGCACTACTGACTATATGTAACAATATACATATATGGTATCAGTGTGTCATATCAATAAAAGCCTCCTAAACTTCACGTGTCACTAACACCGTACACGTATTACGACACACGCACTTGACACTTTTGTAACGTCTTGTAGGTCACTAAAGAAAACATTGCACTTAACGACGCATTCGATACATATATGAATTGAAACACTTGGTTAAAGAGGCGTAGTCTGTCAGTTAAATTAGTTTTAACTGAGTTTGTAGATAACTCAATATGCATGTATGTATTTTTTATTCAAATCCTTTATTAATCGATTTCTAAGAAGCTTGGTTTGTCAAAAGATGTCTCATGAGTTTCCAAGTTCCATTATAAAATTAAGATTTGATGACAGTTAAGAGATATCGATAGTATTATAGGAGTTGCTTCTCAGGTTTTCTATTCTCTGGATTCCAGATATTATCCAAAACGTTCCAGTATGTGTCTAGTTTTAAATAGTTTAAATAGTAGCATTATTTCTGGTTAAAAATGTTAATTATTCTTTCTGAAGTATTTTTATCATTTGAGAAGAGCTTCCGAAAGAAGACTTCAGTTATAGTATTAAAATTAAATTAAATAAATAAAAAACGATTTAAACTGGAAACTAGATCGTTAGCAACAAAATTTCTTATACAAACAAAATAATAATTTTAAATGAAATCATTGAAAATATCGAAATAATTATAATTTTGTTGTCATTACGAAGTATCGTAAAAACCTGGTAAGTATTACATATAGCATTATTGCAATAAATTATACTAATATTAGTGGGTAGTTTCAAATTTCCAATTAAGACTTGTATGATCGTATTGTCTTGTAAGGAGACTTAGTCTTTATTCCTTATTATGACCCTTATATTGCTAACAGATTCTGAAACTGATATAATTATAATATTATATAGCTGTTATTACGTAGTCATTACAATTTTAACACCTACATACATTTGTAATAGGGTTTAAATTCATTTTACTTCTGTTGTAGAATAATTAACTTAATCTCCGTTTTCAGTCACTGTTATTCATACACATAATCTGTTTGTAAATACATATTATTTATTCTTTAAAGACAATTCACACGGCATAGACAATGTTATGTTTAAATAGCATACTCAGTAAAAATCTCTATATTTTAACAAAATTATATTATGTTAAAATGTGACTATATATATATATAGTCACACACACACACACACACATATATTTATATTAAATTTTTTAATTTAAAACCTACGTAATATTTACCTATCAGAAATAATAATTAAGATGTCCAAACCGTATTTTAATATTCATAACCACGTTAATTACATGCTTGTTATAACTGAATTTTTAATTACGATATTATCTACGTTTAACGAACATATAACTCTGTTAATATATTTTAGAATTTATCACAAAATATATATTAAATTTTGTATAAAATAAATTTAATATCAACGTTATCTTCCGATCTAATCTATATTTATAGCCTCGGTAAAGTTTACTCAATTCCTATATCTGTTTTTGTCACTTGACTAAACCTTTCCTTTGACCTTTAGGCTTAGAGCCTTTCAAAATTATAAATAAATTAAAACAGATAGATACTCGGGTCAATAGTATTTTAGGTGCTATTGTAATGTTAGTTGTTTAGTCTTAAATTACGACTTGACTCAGCGTTCACTTTAATTACTAGGTATATATATACATACTAGGTATGTATATATGAAATAGTTTTGCAAGGAGTTTAAACCAACTATTTCAGGCAGTTATG